TGGGGACATGTTGAATTTGAGGTGTCTCTGTGTTCAAATGTTCACTAGGTCAATTGTCTACATAGGTCGGGAGAACATGAGAGAAAGAGTTGAGCTTCGGATAGAAATTTTGTAGTCTCTAGCAAAATGATTAAGACCATGGATGTGAATAAAATTTCCCAGAGAACAAAGCAAAGAGGGCTTAGGATATATAACTTAAAGAACAAAGAGAAGAGGGCTTAAGATATACAACTATAAGATTGGCTAGAGATGAGCTAGGCAGAAAGAAGCCAGAGACAGAGTGTCCAGGGAGGTGGGAGGACACCCAAAAGAACAGGTTTTGCAAGAAACAAAGAAAGAGGTATCATTTCAAGCAAGGAACAAGCAACAATGTTGAATGCTGTAGGAATCAATTGGAAGAGGGACTGAAGAATGTTCACTGAATTTAGCAACAAAGAGATTGTCAGGGACCTTGAGAAAAGCAGTAGAGGGGTAGATGCCAGATCACAGTCTGTGAACTTACAGGCAGGAGGAGCTCTTTTACACAGCAAGACCTTGAGAGACAGGAGAATCCGACCAGCAACTGGCAGATGTGGGTTTGAGAAAGTGGTTATCTGTTTTTTAAACATAGAGACTTGATGTGGATATTGTGGGAGCCACTTGATAGAGAGAGTTTGATGACTTGTAGCAAACAAAGATACAAATCTAAGTTCAAAATACTATCTTTAAAAAATGCTAATGTCTTTAAAGACATAAATCATGGTGTTCCCGTAAGAACACATGATACAACTATAAAACTGTCAATGCATTTAGATACACTTTACAATTAAGGATTAAGGATGTAAAATAGTTACAAGAAATTATCTGAGGGAATCACATTTCAAAATATTTTTTAAAATCACATTTTAAAATATTAAGTTATGGCAATTTTAGCTCTTGTCCATAGAGATCATACTCTTTAAATAATATGTATCTTTGAATAGCTGGTGGTAGAGGAAGCTTCTCCATTGAGGCTGGCTGGCAGAGTTTCTGGAGACCCATAAGTCTTCGAATTTTTAACCGACACAAATGCTTCAATGAACAAGGATTCTCTAAAAGGAAAATAAGCAAAAAAATTTTTTTAAATAGTGACTTGACCCCTAAGATATAACTATTTCAGAATAACATGAGTAGTGTATTCTGAAAAACATGTATGCACACTTTAGCAACGTGATTTTAAGTGAAATTCAAATTGTAATTGAACATTCTAGTCTACTCCTCTAGAATATAAGTTCCACGAGGGCAGATATTTAGTCTGTCTCCGTGCCAGGAAGAGAGTCTGGCTCATGGTAGGTGTTCAACTAGAATTTGTGGAATTAATAAATGGACTTAAGAAAGCAAATGCTCACATCTCTTCTTTATTTTTTAGAGCTAAGTATTATAGAGATAGATTTCTTTACTTTCTTTCTCCTACCAATCTGTCTGATAAATAATTATCCATGAAACATAGATGCAGATGATTCCACATATCATGAATAATCCAATCTGAGTTTTGTTTCCAGTGTCTGATACTTAAACCTTGTATATTCTCAAAAAATATACTAACATTATTTAAATATCTGATATTTTCAATTCTTACTTTATCTATATTATAATTGCAAGATTGATATTTTATAGCAGCAATATGAATGAATGAAGGAGCAGCATAGCATTCAGGCTTAAATGTGCGCTCTGGACCTGGTCAGCTTGGATTAAACTCCTAGCTCTGCCCCCTAATATTTGTGTGACCTTGGGCAAATCACTTGATGTCTGTGAGTTTGGTATTCCCATCTGTGAAATAAGGATAACAACAGTACTTATCTCATAGGGTTGTTTGAAGATTAAACAAGTCATGTAAAGTATTATAAAAGTGCTCAGTACATTGTAACCATTCGATAAATATTAACTGTCATTCAATGCAATAATAAACATGATCACATCTCAATTACGTTCGATGATATAAACAATTTATCTTTTAAAATTAAAAACAATGTTCTCAAAAGTTATTGATGCAACATTACCAAAATAAGCAGAAAAAAAAATCTAAAAAAAAAGTACGATTTTTTTTTCCTAACAAATACGCTGCCTTACAGATAGCTGGAGGACTCCTGACATCCAGTGGTTAATCACACTCATAGCAATCAACTGGCTTCGACTCTAGTCACAATGATATATGATGGAAACAATAAAAAAACTTTCTGCCCTTATTCTTACTTGGATTGTCTTTCCAAAGTCATCAGAATTGGTAAGTATTTTGCAAAAAAAAAAAAAAAACAGTGAGCAATCAATTTCCATTTAGAAGCAAAATCTGTTCTTTCTATGACAGGAAGTATAATGGTATCGTAGAGTCTGTGTTTTCAAGTAAGACAAACAAGAGTTCAAATCTTCACTTTGTTATTTTCTATGTCTATTACTTTGAGAAATTAATTTATCTAAGCCTCAGCATTTTTCTCCCCTTTGCAATCTCCAAGCTAAAAAAAGAAGGTTTTAAGTTTCTTATTGCAAAATAAAATAAAGTACACATGTATAGTTTCGTAAGTTACATAAGTAATTATTGATTGAACATCTATAATCACCTCCTAGGTCTATAGGAAATAGGACTTTGCCAGAGACCAAAGAAATTCTTCTACAATCCATCCTTCCTTATTCCTTTCCCCTGCCATAAATAACTACTCTTCTGACTTGTAATCACTTTCTTTAGAGTTTCATCATCTAAGTGCACTATGCCTGCACTATAGTATTGACAATATATTTTTAAAATTTTTGCTATGTCCTTTAAGTCTTTTCTAATCTGCAGGTTATGCTCTCCATCCCCTTCTTGTCCTTTCAACTAATCTTTGAAGAACCCAAATGCTCTGTAGTTTCCCACAGCCTGAACTTTGCTGATTGCATTTTCGTGGTGCAGTTCCATGTCCCACTGTCTCCTCTATTTCTTGCAAATTGGTAACTGACTCCAGATACTTAATCAGGCTTGGGTTTGATCTCTTTGGCAAAACTATAGCTAGTTCTGTGTTCATTCTTTGGGGGCTGTGTTGATTCTCATTGACTACATCCATTAATTTATTGGGGGCTATATAATGGTGGTATCTAATTATATCTTTTAAAATTATTTAGAATACTTCTATAAAGGAAGGTTTTTGCTCATCTACTCTTTAGTTACTAATGGCACAGTTTATATATATATGTGTGTGTGTATATATATGTAAAGCAGAATAAATGCTTAAGTCTTTCTTTTTACAAGTTTTTAAGATAATGAGTTGATTTTCTATCATCTTCTGGAGCTGACCAGTTTTTTAAAGAAATGTATATTTAATAAATCATTCTATTGTAAAGATACAAGCACACGTATATTCATTGCAGCACTATTTGCAATAACAAAGACATGGAATCAACCTAAATGCCCATCAAGAAAATTTGGTACATATACACCATAGAATACTATGCAGCTATAAAAAAGGAAGGAGATCATGTCCTTTGCAGGGACATGGATGGAGTTGGAAACCATTATCCTCAGCAAACTAATGCAGGAACAGAAAACCAAACACTACATGTTCTCACTTATAAGTGGGAGCTGAATGATGAGAACACACAGACACGTGGAGGGGAACAACACATACTGGGGCCAGTCGGAGGGTGGCTGGAGGAGTTTCGGCATCAGGAAGAATAGCTAATGGATGCTGGACTTAATATCTAGGTAATGGAATGATCTGTGCAGCAAACCACCATGGTACATGTTTACCTGTGTAACAAACCTGCACATTCTGCACATGTACCCTTAAAACTTAAAATACAAGTTGAAGGAAAAAAAAGAAAAAAAAGAAAAGAAACCCACAAATCATATATTTAAATAGATTGGTTTTAATTCATTGAAATCATTACCCTTTTTGAAACTTAAATTGTCCCATCTTTGGCCAGTTGGAGCCTCTTCAAGTTAGCCCCTGAATTCTTTTGTCATGAATCGTGTAGTCTTTGCTTTCTTTGCTTTCTGGTATGACCAGATGTTCCAGGTTCATCTTAATCATTTCCTTCCCCAGATGCAATCATCCATTTCTCAAAAACAAAACAACCTCCAGCAAAAACCCTGGTTTCTTTTCGTAGGAAATGGCATTTCCAGGCCAAAATCTGTGTCGTAGGAATGCTCATTGCTACTGGGTTTATCATTATTTCTAAGACTTATCTGTAAACAGACAGATGCACACACACACACACACACACACACACACCCCTGACATACACACCCCCACCCCCCACAGCATAGTCCTCATGCACACAGATGCTTTCAAGATACAATAGCTTATGAGTTTATATTGTTACTTCTAATTCAAATTCAGGACTACAGGATTTTTCTTTAATCGCTTCTCTATTACATCTGTATTTTCTTTCTGACACACTGACAATCTGTAGTTTCAAGGATACAAAGAATGGAATTGGAATGTTCCTTAATTACTCATTTGCTGAATATATCTCTCATCCTCAGCATAACAATATTAATATTATATCACCATCAATATTTTAAGATATTTAAAAATATGTATTTTAATTATTAAATATTATTTAATCTACTTACTAATATTCAAAAATGAATAATTGTGCTGTGTCTGTCTTATCAGCGCATATAACCATTACGTGTTGCATCTTCTCCCTTTTAACTCTCACTTAGTCTTGGCATTCTGTTTAGTGTTAGTCCTGTTTAATACTAGTTCTCATGCTGATATCTCACTAATCATTTTGGGTTGTCTAACGGCCATTTCTTAGTGGATCATTCAGACATCAGTAAGAGGAACAATATTTCCTGAGTTCTTGCATACTGACAACAGTTTGACTACATTGATCATTGGAAGTCAATTTTGCTGTGTAAGCATCCTTGGCTCACATTTTCCTTCCATGAAGAGTCTTAAATATGTGACTCCATTTTCTTTTGGCATAAAGTATTGTTGATGAAAAGTTTAATAATAATCTATATTTTCCCTTATAAGTCACTTGTTCTTTTTGCCTATGTGCCCAAAGGATATAGTATTTTGTATATTATAGTTTCAAATCTTTCTTTTTTATTACAAGTTTTTCTTGAAACTTAGTTTTATGTATTTGTTATGTTCTCTTGATTTGGTTTTCCTTTTCCAATACATGGATAAGGAATCTTATCCATGTATTGACTATTCATTGTCGTCAATGTTTTTAACTGTCTTTCAAATCATTTTATCTAAGCTACAAGGATGCAAAAGCATAAGAATGATACAATGGATTTTGAGGACTCAGGGGGAAGGTTGGGCCAGGGATAAAAGAGTATACATTGGGTACAGCGTACACTGCTTAGGTGATTAGGTGCACCAAAATCTCAGAAACCACCGCTAAACAACTTATCCATATAACCAAACACCACCTGTTCCCCCAAAACCTATTGAAATAGACAAATATATATATATATATATAAATCCTTTTATCTATTTCTTCATTTATATTTGATTTAAACTTTTTCTTTCATATCCTCTTATAACTCTCAATGTATTGTCGACTGTGTTGCTAGTTCTTGTTTTCATTCTAGTTCAGTCTTCACATTTGAAATTAATTTTTTCTAATTTTTATTCCTCATTCTTTCCTCAGTTGTTACCTGATTTCTGAATTTTTCAAATTTTGACTCAGGTTGTTCATTCATATCTGATATTATTTTCCTCATGCTTTTTAGCTCATTTTGAAATAGCAGGTTTGAATTTTGATTGTTCGGAGAGTGTGTTTTTTTAGTTACGTATTCATTGCCCATGGGGATATCATTCTGTTCGTTCTATTTTTTCTTACTATTATGGGATTTGACTGTGATATTTTCTGTTGTTCATTTTTATTTGCATTTAGTTTTCTTGAATTTTTAGAAGGATGCTTGGTAGCAGATAGCTCTTCTAACTTTACAGAGCTTCTTACTCTATTATTTTCTTGCAATGACCCAAAATATGGTGGTTAGATCTCTGCGGTTTCCTGGCTCTGTCTGCCACCCCCACTTTTTTGTGGGTCCTTTCTTGTTTCTGTCCTGCTTGATTTTTGATTTTACTCTCAATGAGACCTAAGTCCAGGAAGGGAACTTAGAGAAGTCATTTTCAAGAATGCATAGAGTCTAGACTATTTTGTAATTTCCCTTAGCCTTAGCTTTTTATTTGTAAAAAATAAGCATGATAATACTTAACTCTACAATATTTCATAGCACACTGTACATATACATTTCAGATACCTCACATAAACTTACCATGTAATAAAAACATAAAAATGCTACTTTAGTTTTAAAACTAACTAAATTTATTAAGTAATTTAAATATTCTAGACACTAAGCACCTTATATGCATTATTTCTTTAGATTCCCACAACCACCTATGAGGTTAATACTATCCTACATCTACTTTGCAATGGGAAAACCTAGGCATAAGAATAAGTAACTTGCTCAAAGTCACACAACTAGAATGTCTATCTTGGTCTTTTTATAGGAAATAAAAAATCTTCTTCCACTTAGAGAAGCAAAAATGGTAACAATAAATTGTTGCTTTTTTTCATGAAAACATCAGTCCTGAATTACATATGCATTTTATAATCTAGCAATCCTACTCCGAGGCAAGGCGAGAATTCCATTTCATTCTAGGTCTATCTGACCCCAGAGCTCAATTTCTGGGCTAACAACACTATATTACTCTTCAGATGCTCCAAGTTTCCTGTTTTAGTTGCCGTAAAATCTCTTCTATTATAGAACTAATTCCAAGAGAAGGCTGATTCAGGTATATTAAAGATGCCAAATTATTTAAATGTCATATAAAATTCTATAATGCTTCTTTAGGCTTCATGAAATTGATGTCCAACTAGTCTTTGAAAGTTTATTTTCCCAAACTCATATTTTGAAAGTGAAAGCATCTCAAATCTATGATATTTTTCTGGGTTTTATTTGTATTTGGATTATTTTAAAATGTACTTTCACTGAAACTTGTATAATTCATTTTCATGATAAACTTTCATCTAGAAAAGACAAAATGGCCTGTCTATAAATACTAACCTATGATGATAGGACTTTGTCAATAAAGACCTCAGAGAAAGCATGTCAAAAAGAATAATTCTAATCCCTTCCATTAATTCATTTACTCCATATTTATTGAAATGTACTACTTATTAGGCACTATGCTAAACCTTGCGGATATAACAAGAAATAAAGTAGATCTCTAGCCACGTGGAGCTTGCAGTCTACATATTGTATGATATTATAGAAGTTAATTTTAAAAATAAATTGCAATCAGTACGTTAATATAGTTGTAGTATTACTCATTACACAATTACAAAGCCGGAAAATAAAAAGAAAAATGAAAATATGTATCTTACAACAGAGGAGGTGTTAAGGATGATTTTAAAACCCAGATAATTCTGGAAATACAGTAGAGTAGCACAGAAAAAGTATCAAAGAAGACATTAAGAAATTTCCCCCATATGTGTTCTTAATTTAAAAATTGTAGGTGAAACTTTTGGTTTTTACCTAGTATTTGGCGGATTTCTGGCCATTCTCTCTGTACTTCTAGTGCAGACTTCAGTTTAGCACACAGAGGAACATAATCCATGTAATCTATTAGTATGCGAGTAACTCTGCCTACCAAGTGCTTCATCCAAGGAACTGTAATAAACTCACAGAACTGAGAGAATTGATAAAATTTAATTTAGTAATATTTTTTAATATACCATATACATAAACACTCAATTGTGTTATGGAAAAATTACTCTTTGTCTTATTACAGAAAATAAAAGATCCCTCCTTGTAATGAACAAAAATTAAAAATAAATTGTTTGCTTCTCTCTGTGAAACCATCAGCCCTGAAGACTCGCCTGGCTTTGATGTGACTGTGGTCAGCAAAGCATGGAGGAGTCACGCTTCTTTCCATCTGGCCCCAATATTCCACCAAACAGGCAGAAGTGACTAATTGCCTACATTTTCACATTCTTCTACATTCAGTTTTCAAGTCAAGAAAAAACAAACAGCATCTTTTTTTTTTTTTGGCGGGGGGCTAGATTTATGCTTATATCCCCATATCATTGCAAACAAAAGTTGAAGAAAAACTAAAATAGAAAAATTAGAGTTTATTTTTCTTGTCTTGTAACATCCCTAATTGAATGAATGGGTCTTAAATTAGGATGATGACCCAATATAAAGCAGAAAAGGCGTAACTCACCGGGTTATCTTTTATTACACAAGATGTCCATCCTGGCAGCACCTCTTCCTCTGTCTCTGACCACACAAATGAATTTCCAAAGATGTCACCATGCATGCAGTCAAAGCACATCTCCACTTGATAGCCATTATTCAGCAATAGCCTCAGCATTACTTCGTCGTTTAGGGCATACTGAATGACACTGGGGAAACGAGTGTCATTCACATGCATAAAATAACAATTGACATTGGCGCCATGGGAGAGAAGCAGCCGGACAATTTCATAATTATTGGCCCTCACTGCCACAAGTAGACAGTTGAGGGGATCTAAGTTTGGGTCTGCACCTGCAGCCAGAAGGACTTCTGTGCAACGAACATCATTATTAGAAACGGCAAAATACAGCGCAGTCTTCCTCTCATCGTCATAGCTCTGGGAAATGTGGTCAGCAAGTAGAGTGTTGACATCAAAACCATTTTCAATGAGCAGCTCTAGACACTGTGCACTTTGTCCATCTGCTGCTGAGTGAATTGGTGTTAGCCCACTTTTCCGAATTGCATTTTTAGATGTTGCTGGGATAAGATATTTCAGTGCACTAAAAGAAAAAAAGTCAAATATCTACATGCCATAAAGAAAATCAAGAAATTAAATAAACTACCATTCTCACTAGATAAGTGAATGCAAATCATATAGTTTCCCTTATTTTCTCTAGATAACTTTGTACTAAAACATTTAACCTTTGTCTGCGAGGTACAACTATTTAGTTTAGTGTAATGTAGCTCAGTTTTGATTTAGCTTTCTGTTCTAAATATTCCTAGGAAACTGCATCTTATACGGTTTTTCCTAGAATTGTGGTTCCTCGGGAACCCTCCCCATCTTCCAATTCTCCTCTGAACAATATAATATTTACAGACAACCAATACTATTTTTAAAAATATAGGAGAAAAGTAAGCCTTTCTAATGCCATAGAGGACTGTTTCGTAATCTTGACCATTAGGATCATGGGGTCATAGGAAGTGACGCTGGATGTCATTTAGTCCAACTGCTTCATTTAATAGAACAATCTGAAGTCTGAAGAGGCAAAATGATTGTCCAAGGTCACACAGTTAGATGTAGAACAGGACGAGAATTTGGGCCTTTTCGAATTCTTATGAATTATTTCTCTTTCACTAATTCCTACACAATCTATTTTTAAATATTGACCATGTACATTCTGTCTGCTTCCATATAACTTGCAATTGAATTATTAGCCAAAAGAAGAGTCTTTAATATTCCATCAACCTTGCATCAGTCCAATTGAGATAACCAACCACAGTTTATATTTCTAAGTACATGTGATATAGTTGTGAGTTTCACACTTGACTAACCAGCTAGACATGTATGAGAGCCACATGGCAAGGATAACCTGATCTCTTGTGCCTACTTTATGAATTTATGAACACTGGGATTAAATCCAAGTAAACTCTAACAACATGTCACTTAGCATCAATTATGCATCACTGGCCACTTAGCCAATGGCCCACTGAAAACTATAAAGCCCAATTACTTCAAAGTTTTTGATCTTATGAAATATATTTAATTGCCTAAAACCATCTTCTCATGGTGGGTAGTTTAATATAGTGATCTAGATTTCTACCAATGTGTTAATTTTGTACATTTTGTGATTTAAGAATCTATTCAACCATTTGTATGGAATGACGAATTCTAAACTTATAACGAAACTTTTCTGTTCAAGAATATATTTGACATTATACTATAATATCTTGGATATGTTAGGAAATAATTGGAATAACACTGATAGTATCGTTACAAATTTTAATCCTTTGTCAAGGGCAAAATTTTTAGAAACTCTGTAGCCTTTTGTTAAATACGTTTGTAAACAAAAAGGCACTCTTGAGTGGCTTGTGGAGAATTCTCACTTATGGCTTAACTTCTTCTAAAAGAAAATTTCTTTTCATTACAAAAGTACTATAAATTCATTTTTTGGAAGTACAAGAATATCAAAAGGAGGAAAATTAAATGAGCTCTAGATATCTAAATATGGAGCATCAAAACCTGAAGATTATGCCTATTTCTCCTCAGATTTTGAAAGGTATTACATACAGACTTGTGATTATACTGTATATACAAATTTGCATTTTTAACTCAAGTAATTATCCTATAATTTATCACTCACAGATAATGCCCCTCATAGGCAGCTCGGTGTATAGGAAGATGCCCTGCTCGATTAGGTACATTTCCGCTTCCTCCATATTCCAGCAGGAGGGAAATGCAGTCGGGATTGCCACCTCCTGCTGCCTCAAACATCACCGACGCCCCATCATCCGCCAAAGCAAGCACATCACCACCTGGCCGTATAAAACATGTGGCATGATGATAACTGGATGGTATTGTTTAAACAATCCCCTTAAAAACAACCTGTTGTGGGACTCGGTGCAGTGGCTCACGTCTGTAATCCCAGCACTTTGGGAAGCTGAGGTGGGCGGATCATGAGGTCAGGAGTTCGAGGTCAGCCTGGCCAACATGGT